CGTTTAATGAAAATCACGGTAAGCTTGTGTTATCTACTAAGTTATCTACAATTTGACGTATTATTATCATAATGTGTTTTCAAAAATATTATATATCACTTCGATTGATTAAAAAACATATCAAATGAATTCTTTTCATTAATATTTCTGATGCAATCGTACGTTTTTCTTTTTTCCTTCATTCCCTCTCACACTCCACTTCCCCTCTTCAAATATAATGGAAAAATATTGAAAGAGTGAGCTATCTGTAATGTCGAGATTAAAAATTGACAGAAATTGACTAATACATTATTAATAATTATTTTTATAATACTGATATTATCGTATCTATAGGTTTATCATTCATACAAGAAAGTAGTATGTACTAGTAGTTACGTACAAGTGGTACAAACGATAATAGAATCGACAGGTAGTACGAACAGGATTTAAACATGCCAGTACAATAGCAGGAACGATAAATAATTTGGCAAGTAGTAAGACTGGAATTTAAATCTTCTAGTAGTACAAACGATAAATGAATTGACAAATAGTACGGGCAGAATTTAAACGTACCAGTAGAATAGTACGAACGATAAATGATTTGGCAAGTAGTAAGACCGGAATTTAAATCTTCAAGTAGTACAAACGATAAATGATTTGGCAAATAGTAAGATAGGAATTAAAATCTTCAAGTAGTATAAACGATAAGTGAATGGACAAGTAGTACGAGCAGAATTTAAACATACTAATATTTATAATAGGAACGATAAATGATTTGGCAACTAATAACATAGGAATTAAAATACTTAAGTGGTACAAACGATAAATGTGCCAACTAGTAGTAGAAACAAAACTTAAACGTTACAATTTTGCAAATGATAAATTAATCGACGAAATAGTACGAACAGGATTTCGAAAAAAAAATATCTACTAATAATGATACAAATCAAATAATTGGTTGATTCGACAAGTAATACGAAAAGGAGACTTTAACGTACTGAAATGAACAAACAAGTAGTATGAACAGAACTTGAATTTGCACAAGTAGTACGTACAGAACTTTGACCTACATGTATATAGTATATGTAGGTTCAAGTAATGCGATTCAAAATTTTTCTGATACCTTTAAAAGTATCATTTATTTTCGCGTGAACTTTCTCTGTTCACACGGGCGACGGGGTAGAGTAAGTAAAAGAAATATTCAAATACTTTTTGAAATTGAATAACTTTTTCTATACTTTACAAAGAGTGCTCTGAATTTTTCAGTGGAGATATATGTTGTATAAAGTATGTATATAAAGTAGGTGAGGAATTACAAAAGAGGTATGATTCCTTTTTATTGTAGCAGTGATAAAAAAAAAGAAAAAAAAAAAAAAATTAACTATCAAGAAATAAATATATTTTTTATCATTTTTTACAAACATTACTTTCGTAAGTATTAAATCTTTTTTCAAGAGAATTTTCTTCTAAAAAATAAAAGATATATCCATTCTGAAGAACGGATTTTATTACTCATATCCCATAAATACCATAGAAAAGAGAAAAATGAAGAGATAAAAAAGGGAATTACATTTGTTCAAAAATCTTGAAAAACTCGAGAAAAGGATAAATTTTATCGAAACAATAAGTATTATATAACGATATATTACATATTATATGCATATTATATTATATATCTATGTATCTTGTATATTGTAAATGTATTAATAATAAATATTATATAATAATATTATATTATATATTAATTTGGCAAGAAAATAATTTTTTAGTATTATAATATTGTTTATTATTGTATATTATTTGTTATATACAATATACAATATATAAAATATATTCTATAATATATTATTATAGATACATATATTTGTAAACCATAAACCATTTTAATATTATTATATTTCATTAATAATAATTATTATCATATAATTATATCATATAGATATTATATCATAGACATATTGTATATCATCGTATATTATCGTATATACAAAATATATTCTATAATATATTATATATTAGTATATATAATACCATAAAAAAGTTTTAGTATTATTCGATTTTGACGATCTCAACAGAATTATCGTTTCGCATTATTTTCTCACTGCCAAGAGAAGAAAAGAAAAAAAAATCATAATAAATAAAAATCATATATATATATATATATATATATATATATATATATATATATATATATATATCTATACATATATTTTTTTTCTTTTTTCGTAATCTCTTAACGTAACTCGTATATTCCATATTTGGTGAGAAAAATTCTTAGTACTCTTCGGGCAATTTAGAAAAAAAAGTTATTCAATTTGAAAAAGTGTCAGAATATTTTTACGAGCGAGTATATATATTTTTATAGCGGCCAGGGGGTTATAACCGGCAACGATTTATTTGGTAAAAGTCTTTTGCCGACTTTCTCCGGTTGAAATTCTGCATGAACTATCTTAAGGAATTTGGCTGCCACGGTTAAAAGCCCCTCTAATTAGTTTCATCGGGTTATAGTTTGATAAAGTTTCTCTTCGTCTCTTCTCTGATGGGCCCTATATTTTCTCTTTCTAAAACTCGAAATTACAGCGATTTAATCGACCCTTTTCGAGAGAGAAAGAGAAAGAGAAAAGGAGAGAAAGAAAGGAAGAGAGAGAGAGAGAGAGAGAGAGAGAGAGAGAGAGAGAGAGGGAGGGAAAATGTAGAGTTAAGATTCTGATGTCCTTACGCGTAGAGGATGATCCCTTCGAAAACATTTTCTTTCTTCGATGGTATTCGACGACAGAGACACGAGGGAATGATTTTGCCGGAAGTAACTGGACCGATAAAATCTCATCGACTTCGACACGATGATATCGCTTCGAGATACTTTCTTCGAGAATTCTTTCGCGTTATCCCACTGCCTCAACTACAAAAGGAACTAAAAGAGAAAAACTATCTCTATCCACATATATATATATACTATAATATATATATATATATATATATATATATATATATATATATATCTATATCTATACGTATCCAATGAGAAAAAAAGAGATAGATAAATAGATCTATATAGATAGATAGATAGGGATAGATAGACAGACATATATCCCTGTAATTATTTTTAAAAGTCTCTATTTCTCACTTACTTCAGTTTTAAACGTATCGAATGATAGTTATTAATGTCAATGATCCGAATAGAAATAAAATAAATAAAATAAAAAAAAAAAAAAAAAAAAAAAAAGAAAAAAAAAGAAGGAAAAAAGAACAAGTAGAGAAAAACTGTATGTGATAATAATTAAATATATGAAATTAAATGGATTTACGTTCCACGAATGATGATCTTTCACGAATGATAAGAAATTCTTGGCTATTTAGAAACGTTGCCGGCAGCATATTAAGGCATAATCCTGTCAACAATTTCTATAATGTACCTACTTACAATCTTGAAGGAACTTTGATGTTGAACGTACGAAAGCTTGTACACCAATGAACGCATGAACACTACATTTGCAATGTAGTTTGACGAGTAATGAGTTTAGGTAGAGCCATTCTCCGCGATGAAAATGCCCATTGAATTCTCAATAGTCAGGGGACTGTTTCATTCAGTACGGACGAATACAGCAAATTACTCTCCCGTATTTCATTGCAATCTCATTTGCCACTTGTCTCTATGGCGTAATGGTGCCTCTTAACGATGATGCGTTATATATTTTATATTTCTTAAAAGTTCTTTTTACAAATTTCGATTATACTAGAAATAGAAATATTTTTTTAAACAATGATGTCAAACATATATATATACATATATATATATATATATATATATATATATATATATATATATATATATTATGCTAACATATGAGAAAAAAAGAAAAATTAAAAAAATTAAATAATTAAATAGAAAATGTAAAATACAATCTTTGTAAGCATTTATTTATCTATCGTATCACAATAATTAAATTTATATAATTATTGCCAATATCATTTTATCAATTTCTCGTATCGCTCCGAATATTTTACTTTTAATAGCCGTTTATTTTGAAAGTGGCCTAACTCCATTTATACTTAAATCAATGAATGAAAATAAAAATTTTAATGTCCTGCATTCATTACCACGTCGGGATAGATTAAGAAAGTTCGAAAATATTGTATTGACACCACTGTATAAAAAAATCAGACAAATTACAACAGCAAAATTATTCTTTATTTTCTCTTTTTTTCTTTTTTTTTTGTATAATAACAATAACGTCGACGAGAACGAATTGCCATTATCGTTAACAATGAATTCATATTGAAAACATCATTATCGCAATTTGCCCTTAATGATTACACAGAAACATATGTGCCCATAATTATGAAAGTGGTCTAAGTCATATATTTCTTGTTTCGAGATATTTAATGAATTGCATTTGAACGAATTAAAAAATATTTTTATATTATGCGATATTCTAATTTATAATTTTTTTAGTCTTGATTAATGGAAATTTATTATGAATATGAAATTTTGTATGAATTTCATACGAAAATGTTGTTTTTAAAGCTTTAATTGACTTAGACCATTTTCAAAATGAATTGAATGTTCTATAAAGGACTTAAAACAATAAAGAACTATGAGTTTTATTTGAAACAATAACTTTAATAAAATAATTCATGAACATTTATTAATTATTTTTAAAAAATAATCCATTTTTATCATTTTTTCTAGTTTTTATGATTCTTAAAATTTTCCTGATAAACTAGAGGGATGTATAGTAGTAGACACATGATATCTTTATGTTTTTCTTCCGTTATTAGTCTAAGGGTGGTATATAATGGAAGTAATTTAATATTTTTGTATATTTTTGGTCTTCCTCTTTTAGGTGAAAGATCCAAAACGTGCAATTTAGAATCATCTAAAGAAGTTTTATAAAACATTTTATAAGGTTCATTTTTCAAAACTCTCATCCATTGAATTTTCCATAGTATTCGCTGGAATTTTCTTTTGCTGTTTTCTGATCCTCTGCAAGACAGTTCCTAGCTCGTTCGGCATTTTGTAAATGTACATGATAACATTCTCTAAGATGTAATTTCTCTTCTTCATTATTGCATGCTTCGATTTTTCCATTCAGTAAATCGCATTTTTGGCATATCTTTTCGAGGAGCATGGAAATTTAAGTTAAATTCAGTATTAAATATTTTTCTATAGATCCATTCCTCAACAAAGGATTGATTATTTTCCTTTCATTTCTCTACATATAGGCTACACATTTTACGAATATCTACGTCAGGACTCAAATATCTTGGACCAGCAGTGTGGCGAGCTCTGGTGTAATCGCTCTCTTATGCTGGAAAATTAAAAATATGTTCTCGTACAGTTTTATCTTAATTTTTTCGTGAAATTCCAGGCATCTTTAGTGTTTAGGTTTAGCCTCGCCCATGGAGTACTTAGCTCCGCACCTACCAGTTTAGCCATGATCCACGGGTACTTAGCCACGCCCCCTACCGGTTTGGCCACGCCCTCTGGGTACTTATCCCCGCCCTCTACCGGTTTGGCCACGCCCTCTGGGTACTTAGCCCCGCCCACCTACCGATTTGGCCACGCCCTCTGCCGGTTTAGCCACGCCCTCTGCCGGTTTAGCCACGCCCTCTGGGTACTTAGCCCCGCCCCCTGCCGGTTTAGCCACGCCCTCTGCCGGTTTAGCCACGCCCTCTGGGTACTTAGTCCCGCCCCCTGCCGGTTTAGCCACGCCCCCTACCGGATTGGCCACGCCCTCTGGGTACTTAGCCCCGCCCCCTGCCGGTTCAGCCACGCCCCCTACCGGATTGGCCACGCCCTCTGGGTGCTTATCCACGCCCCCTACCGATTTATCCACGCCCCCTACCGGTTTGGCCACACCCCCTACCGGATTGGCCACGCCCCCTGGGTATTTAGTCCCACCTCCTACCGGTTTGACCACGCCCCCTGGATAAATAGCCCCGACCCAACCGGTTTAGACACGCCTCCTGTGTATTAATCATTCTTTCTCTCTCCTTCTCAGTCTCTTGTAATACAAAGGAGTTCTTCTAAATTTTAGGTAACTTATAAAAATTTAAATCGTCGTTCGTCTCATCTTAAGGAATTCTTTACGGACAGATGTTCCAATTCGCACTTTCACAAAAAGATATATAAAACAATCTTATCATAACGATTAAATTGATAAGAGTGATTTTATTATGAATAATATTGTTTCAAATAACATATTAATTTCTTTTTGTTTACCGACAAGTATAAAAAAAAGTTGGAGAAAAAAATATATTTGTTCGATTTGAAATCGAATAAACATTTCATTGAAAAGCCTTACGTATCGTATTAGAAGGTTTATCCGAAAAATTCATGGCTTCGTTTGAGCAACAATATTTCGATGAAACATTTATTATTCGTTTAAGAGTGATTATTGAAACAGAAGCTTTCCTCTTTTTTTGTTTTCTTTTTTATTTATTTATTTTTTTTTTTAGTTTCCATAAAGTTATTCGTACAAATAAGACTTTATTATTTAAATGTCGTTTTCCGTTTGTTTATAATTTCAATTTGTAAAAACAAAAAAGAAATTATTTTTCGATGAAACACTTGAAGATGAATCATTGTAAAAATTATTATACAAATAAATGAAAATACTTGAATTAAAAAGAAATAAAAAATATTTCTTTATAATATAAAATTTTCTATAAGATATCGATGAATGAAAATGAAAATTTTAAAGTCCTGAATTAATTACCACGTCGGAGTAGACCAAGAAAGTTCGAAAATATTATATTGACACCACTGTATAAAAATATCAGACGAATTACAACAGCAAAATTCAAGGATATAATTGACCTATTACGATATATACCACCGGATACTACCGGAACATCATGATTTCTTCAAATCCCTTTCACACACATAATCTAGATGAGTAGTAAATTGTTTTGTAATAAATTTATGTTCGTAATTTTGTACGTTATGTAGTTAAAAAATGTTTTGAATCGCATAAATTATGTTTTCGAAGTGTTTTTAAAGATATGTAAAATAAATTGAATATTTTTTTTTTCAATTTGAAGCATCTTAAATAATGTTGAACGGACTTGGGCACTTTCAAATTTTATAATGAATCTGATTGTAAATTTTGAAAGTGGTCCAACTCCATTCTTGATAAGAAAACACATATTATTCACTTAATAATTGCCGCTATTTTAATAGGAACTATAAATTTAATTTATAGTTAGATACACTTAAGTAGTATAACTCATTAGTATCCTATACGTATATTTTTAAATTCATTGAAACGCTAACCCTTAAATATCTAGATTTGAAGATAAATCAAGTTAGGCCATTTTTAAAATAAATGGCTTATATATATATATATATATATATATATATTTTTTTTTTTAAATATAAATTTTTCATACACGTACAATTTCTATGTTTTCTATGAGATATTGAATAAAGTAATAGAGATCTATATATCTTTGAAATTTTATTCAATGTTATTTTATCTAAGGTTTCAATGAAATTACATCTTACATGATATAGACGCTCAGAAGAAAAAAAAATATACATATATAATAAATAAATAAAAAAGAAAAAGAAAAGGATGTTAACTCTACGTGTGATAATGTATCAAAAAAAAAATTAAAATATAGGCCAAAAAAAGAAATTTATTATAATCCTTTTGACATTATTTTGCATTATTATTGTACACCTTTTCAATAATTCGTACTATAATATAATTTAACCCGATATAAATATTTCCTTTATTATGCATCCTCAATTATGTCAAATACGTGGACATAAATCATTAACACAAAAAACATACGTACACTCAAAGTCGTAGTAATAATAAAAATAATATTTCATGATTGATTTTCAAAAACGCATAAGCACATACGTGGACGCGTACACAAGTTTATATCCAATGAAAAAAATGTTATCAAAATTTGTTCAATTATTTTTTTTTTTATGTTGAATTATCATCAGTTGTGGTGAATTATCTTGTATACTCTTGAATAAAAAAAAGGAAAAAGGAAAGAGAGAAGGAAAATAATAAAAAAAAAAAATCAATACATCATAAAAAATTAATTTACGACGTAATGAGAAAATAGGTGTCCAAGTGAAATTCATTCCACGCGATCGAAATAAAATAGTCTTTTTCACGATTTTTTTTTTCCCCTTTTCGCGAAAACCTGAACTCGTATCTCCTCTTTACGATATATTTATGCTTTCTGCATTGCGGCTTATCGATCGGAAGTTGATCAGAAATTGATCAGAGACAGCGGGATGCTCTTCTTACGCGTACACATATACATACACACACACACACACATACAAATACATGTGCACAAACTAGATACATGAGAATCTATTATTCCCGAGGTTGATTCCGGATTTTACGAAAGATCAGCCAAATTGGTTTCAAACGGCGAATGGAGTTAAATTATTTGCGATATTAAA